CATACTATCCACAATAAAACATTTAAAAAAGAATAGATGAAGAAAAAAACAAAGAAGTCCAAGCTGACCTGAAGGCACTGGCAAAAAACAAGGCTCCAGGATTTGACAGAATACCAACTGAAATGTTTCAACAAACAAGTGCAGCGCTGGAGGGTCTCACTTGTCTATGTTGAGAAATCTGAAAAATAGCTTTCTAACCAACTAAGTAGAAGCAATACAGAGATTCTTTTTTAAATGTTTTATTGTGGATAGTATGATAGTTTACATGGGAGAACATTAGCTTTACATTCATCCTATCGTATATCATTTCATTGCCATGATTACACTCCCCTCCATGCATCATCAAACAACCAAAGGGTTTGACCAAAGTCCCCTGCAAGCGTGCCCCTTGGTCTTCAGCACACAGCCCTCTCCCTCCCTGAGTCTAGAGTCCCCATCCACTCCATCTCTCCACATCATCCCGTCATCATCACCGCCTCCATCTCTGGCATCACTGTTTCTCAGGGTAGGGTCCCGCACTCTGTTCTTCTCCCTTTATGTTTCCGAGGCCCTCCGCTCCTAGACTGCAAAGTGAACCATTCCCCTCCTTTTGCTACAAAACATCTACGTTCACATTTACAGCCCTCACAGTCAGTCCTGGTAGCCATTATTCACTATTGTACCACGAGAGACCTATCCCCATCTCCTGTCATTAGCTCCGCCCAGACAGATTGGATACTACTCAGTGGAGATTCTACCTTTCTTCATGCCCTCTTGAAAGCTTGTAAGCCAGTTGCTTCTTGCCTCCCCCCATTTTGGGTAGTCAATGTCCAAGCTGCTCATCCCTGTCTACAGTGTGTAACGAGGGGGTGGGAATGATCCTCACTGTAGAGATTTGTTCCCACTTTTGAGCTACTGCATCCATTGCATTAGGCAAATCTGCTGCACAAGACCTTTTGCTACATCAAATTGTATCAGATTACTCTTTTTCTCTTCTTCTTTCTTATTCTAGTTGAGCTCTGATCATCCAGTCATTGAAGCCAGGTCAAGTGGGTATTATCTCTTAAGAGTGGGTGTTCTTGTCCATATGCCCTCCCTTCTTATCAGCTGGACGTGTCACTCTCCACTCTAGTCCTCTGTGGTGATGTCACTGACTCTGGGCCCAGGAGTCCCCAGGCCTTGCCAACCAGGTCTCCCCTTGGGTTCACAGGAGTCTGTTGAATGTGATAGGACTTAACTCGCAGCTTTGTTGCTGCTTCTTCATCTGTTCTTGATCACATGGTGCCTCCTAAATTGACTGAATGTTGATATTCTTTATGGTACAGTGACTCTATATATGTTTTCTCTCTTCTTTTGATGCTTTCCAAATCATTTAGTATTTTGCCCATGTTGTTAGGTGAAGTTGAGTCAGATCCCACTCAGCCACCCTATGTACAGTGGAATAAAACACTGCCTGTGGTCCTTTGATAGTCTCACAACTGTTATGCTTGAACCCATTGCTGCTGCCACTGTGCCATTCCATCTCATTGGGGGGTCTTCCTCTTTTTCACTGACCCTGCATTTTACCAAGCATGATGTCCTTCTCCAGGGACTGGTCCCTCCTGATGACATGTCTGAAATGTGGCTTCTGGGGAGCATTCTGACACATACTCGTTAGTTCTTCTGGCAGTCCATGATCCTTTCAGTATTCTTCTCCAGTACTGTGACTCAAATCCATCAATTCTACCTTATTTATTGTCCTTCAGTATTCCAACTTGAGACTTGCATTTTTCTTCAATTCTTTTAGCTTAAGAAATGCTGAGTGTGTTCTTCCCTCTAACTCTAACTCCAGTCTTGGCACATTTCATTATAATACTTTGTTTTTCGAGCTGACTTTAAAATTTTTCTGTTCAGCTCATTTGCTTCATTTCTTTCTTTTGCTTTAGCTTATGTATGGTCAAGAGCTAATTTCAGAGTCTCTTCTGACTCCCATTTCGGTTTTTTCTTTATTTCCTGTCTTTTTAGTGATCCTTTGGTTCTTCCTATATGGGGTCTTTGATGACATCCACAACTTGCCTGGTCATTATTATTTAGTGTGTCACATCTGTTCTTGATAGGGTCTCAATCCAGGTGGAAATTAGTCAAAGTCATATTTTGGCTCTCATGAACTTGTTTTATTTTTGTCAGCTTCAGTTAGAACTTGCATATGAACAGTTCATGGTCTATTCTGAAGTCCGCCCTTGGCCTTGTTCTGACAGATGCTGTTGAGCTTCTTCATCATCTTTTTCCACAAATATAGTTGATTTGATTCCTCTGTATTTCATCTGGCAAGGTCCATATGTGTAGTCGATGTTGTTCAAAAAGGGATTTGCAATGAATAAGTCATTGGTCTTGCAAAATTCTGTCACAAAATCTCCTGTCATTTCTATCACCAAAGTCATATTTTACAACTGCTGATCTTTTTTTTTGGTTTCCAACTTTTGCATTCCAATCACCAGTTTATCAATGCATCTTGATTGCACATTTGATCAATTTCAGAGTGCAGAAGTTGGTAAGAATCTTCAATTTCCTCATTTTTGGTATTCATGATTGGTGCATAAATTTGAATAATAGTCACATTAATTGGTCATCCCTGCATGCTTATGGATATTACCCTACTATTGATAGTATTGTACTTCAGGGTGGACCTTGAAATGTTCTTTTTAACAATAATTGTAATGACATTTCTCTTCATTTTGTCATTCTTGACACAGTAAACATATAATTGTCTGATTTAAAATGGTCAGTTTAGCTCACTAAATTGATTTTTATATGTTCCGTATAATTTCTGACAGCTTCCAATTTTCCTAGATTCATATTTTGTACTTTCCACATTCTGATTATTAATGGATGTTTACAGCTATTTCTCCTTTTTTTGAATCATGCCCCATCATCAAATGAAGATTCCAGAAGCTTCCAACCACGTCACTAAAGTCGAGTCTATTTGATTCTGTTCTTCCCCAGTCATAGTTTGAGTGCCTGCCTATTTTAGGGGCGTATCTTCCCGTACTGGATCAGACCCCCTTCCTCTGGTATTCTTAAGGTGTTCAGAGAAGCCCTTGAAAAGTAGTCTGCCTATTTCTTCTTCCTTGTTTGTCATTAGACTGGAAACTCCACCAAAACCTGTCCCCCATTGAGTGACCCTGCTGGCCCTCATGTGGACAGGTGATCAGTGGCAGAGCTTACAGCAACACGCAAGCCACCATGGTCTGACAAGCTGACCGACAAGGCAGAGCATAGATAAGTTAATTTGGGGTTGAGAGAGAAACAGCAGCTTAATACGTGGTCCACTTCAGTACATCAAATTTAGAAAACTCTTGTCTCCCTTTTGTAGGCTTCCAGCTTACTTTCCTGCCCTATGCCGATGATAAACGGAAGGTGCCCTATACTGAAAAAGTCCTAGCAAACCCAGAGCAAGTGGACAAGATGAAAGCTATTGTCCAGAAGCTGCGCTTCAAATACAGGTAAGTAGTGGATCAGCCTGCGGCTTCTTCACGAACTGCCTCCTAACTTGAAAATATTTTAGAAAGTCTAGTTTGACATAGACCAAGAGACTGTCATTTCGTTCTTCTCAGGTAAGTGGTAGCTATCACTCTGATAGGTAGGCTGGAAGTTCTTTTTTTATGTGAAGATTCTAAGATTGGGCTATGTGCTTACAGCTAGCTGGTCAGCCTGTTGTGCTGGACTTAGAAATCAGGTTCAGGAGTTGAGAATATTCAAAACAGTAGCAGTCAGGGGACAGACAGCTTAGTCTCTTCTTCTTGGTTGTGTTGGTTGTCAGAGAGTAAAAGTAAATAAATCCATTGTAAATTGGTACAGACTTAAATTATGATTCTGTGACACAAACTGTCACCTCTGAGAACCTGTACATTGTGATTCCAAACATCATTTGTTTTCCACCTTTCATCCTCTGTCTTAGGCTGTCTCCCTGGACAGCACCACACTGTCCTACCCCAAGTGTAGCCTTGTATTGGGTAATGGAAAACTTGGCTTCATTAAGAGTTTACCATATGCCAGGCGCTGCTCTAGGTGCAGCGTCAGCATTATTCCATCTACATAGGAACCGTTTCACAGATGAGGAAATTAAAGCTTCGAGGAAGGAGATAGCTGGCCCAGTTTTGCCTAGCTGGGAAGAGGTTGAGCCAGGATTCAGATCTAGGTCTGACTGACTCGAGATTCACATTCTTTTCTCCCATGCTGCCAGTGGGTATGGGAAGAGAGGACACTAAGGCCCAGCGTCCTCCCCATCCCTGTCACCCCACACCCCTCTCTCCTCTGCACGTACATGACCCTAACTCCTCCGTCCCTTTTCTGTCCTTAACGTCCAACAATGGTGGGCAGGTATTGTACTGCTCTTAAAGGAACCTTGGGATCTCTAGCATCAGGCAACAGACTGAAAACTGGAGAGACCAGATTCCCAGTTGTTTTACTTGAATTGTTTTTCTCATCTCTCCTTGGAGCTTTGTTACTTCATTTGGGTTTATTTAATTTTATAATGTAGTTTTCCTTCGAAAATGTTTAAATTTTTATTTGCTAATTATTGTTGTTGTGAAGTGCCATCAAGAGGATTCCGACCTGTAGCGACCCTGTGTAGGGTTTCCGAGGAGCAGCTGGTGAGCTTGTACTGCTGACCTTGCAGTTCACATGGCTTTGCAGTCTGGCGCATTAACACACAGCGCCACACCAGGACTCCATTATTATTTTTTAATAGATACTTTTTAGAGCCATTTTAGGTAAACAGAAAAACCATGCATAAAAGTACAGAGTTCCCACCTCCCTCCTTTCCTTGGCTTGCAGTTTTTCCTGTTAACGAACGAAGTCTCACATTCACATGGTGTGTTTGCTCCAGGGCAGGAGTCAGCATGGTGCCTTATCGTTGGCTAAAGTCCATTTTCATTTCAAGTTCACTTTTTTGTGTTGCACAGGCTTATGGGTTTTGATCAGTGTTATGTGCCCACCATTACAGTATCATACAGAGTGGTTCCAACAACTCACCCTTCCCCCGATCTCTGGACTCTCTCTAGTTATGTTGTCGTTGAGTGCCGTGGAGTCGGTTCCGACTCATAGTGGCCCTGTACTTGGTTTCCGAGGCTGTAAATCTTTACAGGAGCAGGAAGCCTCGTCTTTCTCCCACGAAACAGCTGGTAGTTTCGAACTGCTGACCGTAAGATTAGCAGCCCGATTCGTAACCACTACGCTACCAGAGCTCCTTCTCTATAGTTATACCTTTTCCAAAAGGTCATAGAGTTGGAATCATACAGACTGGAGCCTTTCCAGACTAACCTTTTTTATTTAGCGTATCTTTTCGTGGCTTGATAGCTCATTTCTTTTTAAAAATAACTTCCTGTATCTTGTTGTTGAGCGTATACACATGGAGCGATTCAGCAGTTTCCGCATGTACAATTCAGTGACATGGCTTACACTGTTGGGCTTTTGGAACCATTCCCACCTCTGTCTTTTGACTTGTCCCTTCCCCTGTGGCATAAACTCACTGCCCCTAGGGTTCCTTTCTAACCTTTTGAGTTGCTGTTGGCAGTTGGATCTCCTATCTTAAAAGAGCAAAATGCTGAAAGCAGACATTGTTTAATAGTTAAGCTAAACTCTTGCTTAGTTTTAAGAAGACTTCTGGGCTATTTTTGGTTTCAGGTTAAAAGATGATCTCACGGCAATTATTTTGAGGATTTATCTAATTTCCATGATTCCATAAAAATCTTGATTTCATGAGAATTTCAGATTCTGTTTTGCATGTTTTCCCTTTTGATCAATATTTTCTTAATAGAATCTTTGATCAAAATGTTCAGTTATGGTAGCTGGGCACAAGCTAGCTCTTCTGGTCTCATGACAGAAAGTAGCTGCTATGGAGGCAATTAGCCACATGTCCCGTTCCCTCCCCCTCTGCCAGATTTTCCTGCCTCGGTTGCTCCAGGTGACCAACTGGTGTGCCTTGGATGGCCGCGTGTAAGCTTTTAAGAAGCCAGGAACTACTCAACACACTAGAAGGTAGAAGAGTGCTAAACATCTTAATAGGCTTACTATTAACACCACCACCCTAACCCCCAGACCAAGGAACCCAAAATGTCATGAGGGATTATGCATGAGCAGCCTCACTACTGTTAGGTGTGTGCTTACTTCACTAGGATTACTGGTTACTGAATATTGAACCCAGGGGTGAAGTTCATTTCCAGGCCTGAAGGATAGGTGAGGACCATAGTTTCCAGGTTCCACCAGTCTCTCTCGGACCAGTAAACCTGGCCTTTTTTATGGTTTTTGAATTCTGTTCAACATTTATTGAAGGCCCTCTTGGTGGTTTCCCTTTTTGCTAAGTATGGTAGCACCTCTGTGAGCATTCATGTGCAGGCTTGATTGGCTTGTTGCCTTTTTTAATAGGAGTGACAGCTTCGAGAACCCAGTGCTGCAACAGCACTTCAGGAACCTGGAGGCCTTGGCGTTGGATTTGATGGAGCCCGAACAAGCTGAAGATCTGACAAGTGAGGAGGTTTTGGCTAAGTTGAGAGGGGTTCTTTTCGGAAGGCCTCACTGATTTCACTCGGGGCCAGTAACAGAACGCATGACCTGGCACACTCGGGAGTCTCAGCATTTATTCATGTATTCATACTGCATGGTACTTAAATCCCACATGTTAACATGAGAATACAGGCATCCTGGTGGTGCAGTGGTAAAAACGCTCAGCTGCTAGCCAAAAGATCAGTGGTTCAAAGCCACCTTCCTCTCTGGGAGAAAAGAGCTGGTGCTCTGCTCCCAGAAAGACAGCGGCCTAGGAAACCATAAGGAGCAATTCTCTTCTGTCTCCCAGACTTGCTGTGAGTCAGAATTGACTTGACAGCACATAATAACAAACTGAAAATTAGTAAACTTAGAACGCAGACAAAAACTTACCCTTTCACTGCTCCTGCCTTCTGTCTTGTTTGTTGTTAGGTGCCATGCTGTCGGTTCAGACTCTGTCTGTGCACAACAGAATGAAACACTGCCTGGTCCTGTGCCTTCCTCACTATTCCTATGTTTGAGCCCAGTGTGCTGCCTCTGTGTCCATCCATCTACATGAGGGTCTTCCTCTTTTTAAATGACCCTCCACTTTAGTAATCATGATGTCCTTCTCCAGGGACTGGTCCCGCCCAAGAACATGTCCAAAATAGAAGAGGTAAAGTCTTGCCATCCTGACTTCTAAGGAGCATTCTGGCTGTTCTTCCAACACAGATGTGTTTGTTCTTATGGTAGCC